ATTCCATATCTGGCACTCTGGCCAGAAATGGAAAGGTAGGGTATCCAGCCAGACCAACTCACAAGAAAATGATGGGTTCTAGGTCTTTAGGGTGTGTTCCGAATTTTCTAGTGGCTTTGGTGTCTCGACCAGCACCTGGTACACCCAAATCCTCAAACACTGCCATGCTCAGAGTTTGGTAGCTGTTGTTCAATCAACTTAGCTTTTGTATGCTTTGTTTGCTTTTGGACGCCCTCACAACATTTAGATGATTTAGGAGGAAGCAGGATCAAAGCAGGATCCGCGAAAGAATGACAATCGCACGTCAAGGCACCAGAGCATTCACGAGAAAATGCCAAGCGCAGCGTCAATCACGGGTCCAAGAGGTGTGATTGAAATTTGGTGTCGCTTTCTAGTGTTTCACTAGATTATGCCAATCACGGGTTCATGAAGCTGCGTTCCTCATTTTCTAGGGGGGCTGACATTCATCATTTTTTCAGGAAATCACTAAAGAATGGGTGGGGCTGACCCCTCTATGTGATTTTCAATGATTTTCATGGGGGGTTCTATCTATGTGCATATATATATATATCATGTGCATGCCAAACTCGTTGCCACTTCCGCGCGTATTCCCGAGAACAAGGTCATAGTTCATCATGGCTCATAGGTATTTGTGCCCACAAGAAGGCATCGGCATACACAAACATGTAAGAGTTCACACGTGTTCCCAACGCTTGGGCTTTGAATTTGATTTTTAATTGTGGCGCAATTGCCCACAAAAGTGGCACTATAAGGTAGGTGGCCCTTGCCATGGTGACCTGAGGCCATCACACTATTGACTGTGATTCTGGTGAAAATGAAGGCCCGCTTGAACGAAACAGGGGAAGTGAACAATGTAAACAAGAAGGGTGCAATCAGTGCAACATGTCCAGCGGTCTCCAACGTGCTGACTTTACCGATCAGGCAACCAAAAGTCACGAAAAGTGATTGCACGAGCTTCACGGTGCTCATCTAGGTCTTGTCAATGCTGGACCAAAAGCTTGTCCAGCCTTTGCCTTGACTTTTCCACGAGTTTTCCACCCCTAAGCCCGATGTTGTCACCCGCATTGGGATGGAAACCAAGCTGTTTCCTGGCCTGGACCAATTGGGTTTGGCCACCGGTTCTCGTAGAGGTCACGGAGTGCGTCCATTTCGACAACTTCATGCTACCCCACACATATACATATACACATGCAATTTTAAAAAATCATCTTACCGGCACATTGATTGCTGCTTCAGGAGGACCACTCATCAATACGTTTCGGCATGCTTTGGCACGAGGAAAATGTGGTTGCGCTGCGATGCTTACCTGTTGGCACATCGAATTCCAAAACAGCAGTTTACCACCCGGAGATGTGCTGGATGAGGCTGCTGCCGGAGCAGAAGAGCCTGAGCCCAGCTGGGGTGCGCAAACAATTTTGTCATATTCTCTTGTGGTCTGAGTGTGCCTGAGTGGGCTCTGACTAGATTAAGGGTTTGGCCGAAGATGCATTTTTCTTGGCAACTGTTTTTTGGCTGCAATTGCTCTGCTTGTGGGCCTGCCTGGAGGTCTATTTGGTTCGGTTGTGGCTTGGAGGCTCCTGGCGTGACATCATTGTTGACGATCGCCTGCCCTGTATAGGGAACGGGCTGAGCACGTGCGCTAGGTAATAGTAGCGCATGTGTGCATGAAGCTGCTAGTGCCACGTTGTAGCACAGTCAATGGAGAGGTACTATCAGCTTGCGTACTGCTCTACTCGAAGGTGTCAGCAGCTCAGATTCCTTTCCTTGGAAAGGGGCGCCGTGTTGAACTATGTAGTTCCTTATAACTTATCATTTACACAGGCTGTGGCTTTACAACCTTTGCGCAATGGTATGTTAGAGTTACATTGCTTTGTTGATGCACTTGTGGACTTGTGGACAGGTTCAATTACACTAGACTAAGACTGTGAGTGAAGTATCAGTGTCCATGTCTTTTTAACAGGATCTTGCTTGGGTTCTGACCAGACACCACCTTCCGCCTCACTAAGTGGTCAATTGCATTCTGGGCCGCTTGCAGCTCTATCAATTGGACATGTCATTTGGGCTGTGGCGAGTACAGGCAACTTCTTTAGCTGTTAACCAGCACCAGGTGGCCCAGGAAGGAACTTTGGTGAGGATCCTTCATATCCAACCTTCACATCCATGTGCTTAAAATGTGTCAGAAATGCATAAATATGTGTAAATGCACACTGTAGACCAGGATTGATTGCAGAGATATTCATGCCCCAAGGTCAACTATGGGCAAGTATTATTGAAAAAGGCTTTGCCAAGGCGTGCGGCTCATATGAGGCGTGGAGATGGGCGACCAATCTCCAACCTATTATTAGCGACGGCCTCCAACCTAATGGCTCCAACCTACTACAAGCACAAGATACATGAATTGAGAGATTGTGCAGGCAATAGCGGGTGGTCAGCCCGAGGAAGCGCTCTCTATTTTGACGGGCTGGCCATGCGAGACCATTCAGTTCGATAGCGAGGTTTGGGTGTTTGGGGATTTGCGCTTGCCGAGCTTCTAAGTGCCTAGACCTTTTTTTTTGTAGATTCGATATTTCTTCCATGGAACATGGCAGTGCCCTGATCTTCACATCCTGATCCACGCGGGCACGAGGATTTTGATCCTGGCATTTTGTGGGCAACAATGTCCACCTCCAGGGAAGTGGCCTGGCAGACGATACATAGATCTTGATGTGTCTCACCTGACGCCATTGCACATTTGCAGAGGCCAAATTTCTCATGACCGTGTCAACAAGCTGCGGTAGGTCTCACAGCGAGCAGGACTTTTCAGTTTTACTGGGGAGGCTTGAGTGGTGCAGTGGAGCATAGTGGAGCAACCCTATCAATGTTGTCAATTGTGGAGGACGTTCGCGCGGCGGGACTTGTTCCCAATCATGCCTACTCGTTGATAGATGTGCGGAGCCGAACGCCTAAGGAGATGCAAAAACCAAGGCTTGTGTTAATTTGCTTCAGGTGCTTGACATTGAGGATGCCAGCCCTGGCCCTACAGTAGGTCTCAAGTTTTTGAGCATGTTGGCATATGCGGGCCATAAACAAAGACAGCAGCGGATAGCAGGTGGTTGTCGCATGCAGCTGCTGAAGATTCGCAACCCTCATGGAGAGGCTCGGGCATCGTTTTGCCTCGATGCATGCCAGTAGCCTCAGTAGCCCAAATGGCCTCCAACCTACTAGCGATGGCCTCCAACCTACTAGCAATGGCATCCAACCTAGTAGCGATGGCCTCCAAATAGCCTTTCAGGATTTGTTTGGAGTCCTGATGATCTAGAATCTAGGCCAAATGGCGTGGCAACTGGTCAGAGAGAAGTCAGCTGTGGACACCAGAACTCCGTCAACGGGTTGGCTGTGCCAAAGCTATAGAGGTGGCGATGAAGATTCCGGAAGCGCATTAATTAGACACAACTGCCAATGAGCCAATGATTCATGATCCTTCTAGTGCATGCTGCATACTTCTCAAAACCTGGACCTTGTTTTTAAAGCAACCTTTGCCTTTGTTGCCACTGATGAGCGGCATTGTTTTTTGGAGGATCACATGTTCTTCATGAGCTACAATGACTTCCTAAACTGGCCATAGCCTGACATCACACTTAGGAGGAAGATCAAGACTCCATTGTAGCGGCTGGGCCCAGGTTTGAATGCTGCACCATTTGCAAAGTCCACAGTGATGGTTGGCATAAGGCTGTTGAGAGACGGCCGCAATGTCGAAATTCGAATTGATCAACGATAGTCTCAAACTCAACTGGTTCCTGTGAGGTGCGCATGCCCACACCACTCCCCGGAAATGGGATAGCACCCACCCAAGGCCAGTGGCAGTGATTTTTTAATGTTGCCGCAAGTCCGACCGATTTGCAGGGTGGAGGCTCACAGTGGCTGAGCTTTCACTGCAATTCAGAGCTCGATACACACATTTGTCTATATACACATAATTACATATATCTAAAATTGTACACCTATATGTAGGCGTATGATGTGATATGATTTGTGTTGAATAATATGATGTTTGACACCTTGGCTCTTCTCACTGTCCGTCAACTTGCCACATCTTGTAGCCAAGGAGATGACAGAATGCCCGAACCTTACGGCTCTAACTGCGAATCAGTATACTCAGTAGCCCGCGGTAACGAGGCAGCTTGGCAAGCGTTGTTCAGCACCCCCAAACATGAGAGCAGGCATCAATGTGAATGTTGGGGTGCTTGTCAGTTGGTGTGATAATTCCAAAGTGTGAAGTGGTTGCAATGACACGGTCTTGCCACTGAATTAAATACGTACGTTCCTCGAATCTCCTTGGGTCACCAAGTATTTCATTGCTGTTCAGTGGTGTTGGGATCAACTCTTTTCAAGAATGCTCGGGTTGAATGCGGCACATTTCGGAGTGTACGTGTCGTCGTTTCAACACCTACAAAATACGGTTTTGCGTTGTTTTGATGCCCTTAGGTTTCTGTGCCAACATGTCCAAATTATGTTGTTGGATGTGTTGCAGAGGAACCCCTATTTTTCTGGATTTTATTTCGTTTTTTTTTTGGGGGGGGGATTTTTTTGTGTGTGTTTTTTTTCCCCTACTGCTTTTACTTTTTGTTTTTGCTTTTGCTTCTGCTTTTGCTTTTTGCTTATGTTCTTTCTTTTGCTTTTTGCTTTTGGCCTTTGCTTCTGCATTTGCTTTTGCTTTTTGCTTTTGCTTTTTGCTTTTCCTTCTGCTTTTGCTTTTTGCTTCTGCCTTTGCTTTTGCTTCTGCTTTTGCTTTTGCTGACTATCTTCTTTGCATTGACACTGCCACAAAGTTGGATGATAAGACCTTCACCTTGAGCTTTGACACCCAATTACACCAATCAAGAAACGAAGCAGCCCAGCGCTGCCTATATTTGATTTGCATTGCGGGGGAGGCGCTCCCTATTATAGTTCCTCTCTCCTCCTACTTCTCCTTCGTTAAGTGGGATGCCTTTTCCGGAAGAACGCCTAAAGAAACCCTAAAGACAAGAAACCGAGCCCAAAGAAACCCGAAACCAGTGAAGCTAAAGACAACCGCAAAGAAGTCCCTAGTAAGTGGAATACCTTTTCTGTTCCCTCCCTTTGTCACTGTCAGGCTGGCTTTGGTGCTTCGTCCCCTGCCCTTTGTGCTGCTCCTAGTGCTTGTAAAGCACTCCCAGAAAAAACCGGAAAAACAATCTGGAAAAAATATAAATCCTTTTGCAGACAGGGCGCGTGCTATTGCATCTTGTGAGGTCTCACCGCTCCGTGCCATGGTTTCTTCTTTTGAACTTCCGGTGTTCAGAGGACGTTGTTACATACGGAGTGTTGTTGTTGCTGTTGACGCTGCCAATTTGTTTGTACCTTTTTGCTGTGCTTGTTGCTGCTTATTTGGCACGTCAAACTGGATGTTTTCTTGCTGGCAACTACTTTTGGTGAAGGGCTACCAGGCAGTGAAGAGATCCCAATTCTCATTGAACATTTGGGTCTAAGATTTGGCCCATCTGGGGCTTGCGCGTTGAATACGTTGAAAGGTTGCTTGACACTGGCGCAGCCTCAAGACCGCGCACGTAGTGGCCCAGTGCCGCATGCCTCAATGAAGGATGAACATGGACGGTGATTTGCAGTTTTCGTGGAGAAACATCGGTGCTGGCTGGCAAGGCCCAACAATTGCTTTGCTTGCTGGCTTGTGCATCAGGTTTTTGCCTTTGAATTTGGGCAAGATTGCTGGTGCTGGATTTGTTCTAGCCAGTAGCTCAGTTATGCCCTTTTTACACTGGACTGTGACCGGTATCAGGGCCATTTTTTGGCCGGTGTTTTGATTGCAGGTTTGTGTTGATGAAGCCCAGCAGAAATCGCTGACTACAGTCACAGTGCTTGACCCAGTTTTATGCAAATATAATGCAACTAGATTGGCTGGAAAAGCTTTTGTGCATACAGAAAAGAAGCTTCAATGCCTCTGGCAGAGAAGGAACCTGTGGCATGTTGACATTCCTGGTGTCCCCCAGGTTGGGCATCCGCGCTGCCGAGCTATTGTATCTGCAGACTGTTGGTTGAAGCCAGGCCGAGAGCCTGCAGAGTTTTCACCTCTTGGAAGGGATTGGTATGATCAGGCGATTAGCGGCATTCATCCTCATAGATATGCTGTGTACATATGACGTATGCATATTCATAAGATTAAGCAAAATATAGTTATAAGTTATTATCATTTTTGTTTATGCATATGTGTGTCTCATAGACTCCGTCTACACAATTTGTTCGCCTTTCTTCCAGCTGAGAGGTCTCTCGTACTTTCTCCTTCCCCTTAGTCTGCTGGATGGGCCTGAAATACCGGCTGCTAGTGCCCCAGGCTTTTACGGAGCCGAATGTTCCCAACACCTGCAACCCTCAGGTGTTCTCATGCTTCAGCAGAAAGACAGTGCAGATTCAGGAGCACAGCTTCTCTGATTCTGCCGCTTGGCTTTAGAGAAGTGATGTGTTGGCACGTGGCACATTTTGACTAAGAACCTGAGCTGTACGGTCAGGCTGTGGTTGCTGGTTGGGCGGCCTTTATCAAGCAGGGAGCCTAAAAACATTAGTTAGCAAAGGTGGTGCTTTCGATATGGCTTTTTTCTCGAGGTCCAGCGCCAAAGAACCCGACAACTTCCACGGTGCCAGGTCCAGGCCTTAGATTGTCGGAAAGCTTGAGAGAAAGAGGGAGACATTGTAAATGGTATTCACTACGTCCTTACCTGGCACCTGTAACTGTACGTCAGTGACGCCGAGGGTTTACATCGCCAAGAGCCATGGGGGAATGGTGGCCTGCATGGCTAAACCCTCAATTTTTAGAGTGTTTGAGAATCAACACGTCTCCAACCCAAGCATGGAACTTCAGGCAGAAAACCATGGACGAGGTTTCTTTCAGGCCTGGTGTGCTCAGCACACAGTGAGCAAGAAAGCACAGCGCAGCTGTGCAGCCAGGTGGAACTCGCTTTCCAGCAGTTGGAGAACCAATTGAGTTTCTCCAGGCAGTTGAGAAAGGAAACAGATGGATGCAGAGCACTTGTCCAACATGTCAGGGGAACGGGCAATACTACAGACTGGTTGGCACCTGGAGAGGCACAAATTCTTCAGGCAAGTTCTGAAATTAGTTTTTGTATGTTATTTTTTGCAGGAGGTTGGTTGTGGGCGGTCCTGCTGCTTCCAGGTAGTGATACCAGCAGGTAGTGGTGGCTGGCGGAGTAGCCAGCGATATCAAATGCAGTTTACCCGGCTGACATCTCAGAGAATGTACTTCAAATGCTGGTTTGCCTTAAGGTACTGACTTGATGCTTTTGGCATGTCTTTATTGCAATTGTTTGTTCTGCCACTGGCATGTGAGCTCTCTTCCGACCTTCAGCCGGGATTTGGCTCAAGTCCCGCGCGCCGATTTCACATGGCGTCTTGGTGCCAATAGACCAATTAATGATATTTAGTTGATTATACAATATTATACAGTAGGATATGTTTAATGTATATAGTGTAGAAACCACAATGCTGCTGGGAGGACCTGACTATCGAGCTTTTGCAAGGGTCTCTTTGCCAGGTGTAGGGTATGATGGTCGCGCACGAATGCCAAGAGCCTCAAGGGTCCTTTTGAACGAGTTGTGGGCCTCCATCTTTGTGCAGGGTGAAGAGACGGTGCCGCACGGGTTGCTATGGATTGGACAAAGCGGAGCCAAAGTTCAAAGAAAGTGACACAAAAAATGATTTTCTCGCAGAACATGTGCTGAGAATGCTTTTCTGAAGTTGTTTTCTCCGCCACTGCAGTCCACGCCTGCAGCTCTAAGCTGCAGAGGCCCCGTGGGTAAAACACTTTATATATATATATAAACCCAAGATGGTTACAGAGCAGGGGAAGCAGCACCCAGCACAGACAAATGTTCGATTTATGTTGACCTCTGCTCACTCGAATAAGAGTTGTCGTATTATTATATCATCATGTTCGAATTTGAGCAGCGGCGTTTGCATGGTATTGTCTTTTTGGCTCTGCCAAGGATGCTTCCAAGAAGCCTCTTTGAATTGAATGGTCACAAAGGCCAAGGCGCAAGATTTTGATGAGGCAGATGCCAATTTCGGAGGCCGGAGTCCAACCACTGCAATATAGTGATGCGGGTAAAAGGACTTTAATAGGAAAAGGAACCTAATAGCGATGGCCTCCCCGTAGTAGCAATGGCCTCCAACCTTCTTTTTTTCAAGCACCCAGTTTCGCAAGGCGACTCCAGCAATTCCGGATTGTGACTTGGCACAATATGGCACAATCATGTCCGCGTAGCAGGGCCATGCAGGGCCTGGTGCATTCATGGCGTGAGATTCATCCTAGGCCTCCAGGCTTGCTAGATCCTCCCGGACTGAAACCGAATGCATCTTGCCGCAAAAGTTGAAATGCAATTTCACAAGGTGGCCTCTTAGGCCCCTTGGTCAATTTGCTGTCGTTTGCACAGGGGCAAGGGGCTCAAAGAGCAGCGGCTAACCGAATTCACATTGCTAGGAGAAGTTGGACAGTGAGAGTGAGAATATGCATATAGAGTCTAGTAGCGAGCTCAGCCATGAGGAATGTAGTGACATCATGCACAAGTGTAGAAGCAAAGTGTTGTTTTGATTTTTGCTTGACGCTGCTTTTCACACATCCAGGTGAGTAACACTATACGATATATACAAAATAGAGGATAACTTTGGAAGAACAGCAGATTAGGGAGTTCAATCCCAAGGTGAGCTAACCGTGGGACTCCCCACACCGCTGCTCGAAACAGTTTAGAGGGACTGGCTATGGCTGGCTTGAATCTGGCAAAATTTGCTTTGAGCTCCCGTGCTGTATTGGTATGTTCTAAGGATTCCTTGTACTGCTGGAGGGAGGATGCCTATTGAGACCCTTGAAGTTTAGAAGCCTGCAGCCTGCGGGGATTGTCGTTTCAATGTTTGCTAGCTGTTGTTAACATTGTTCGGCATCCAAGGAGCGACTTTACCCAGTGCCCGCACTTGCAGACTTTTGTACGCTGCGGGCCGCACCATCGTGCTGAACTTTGCATCCTTTCCAAGGAAGACGCTCAAGCCCAATTCTCGTTGAGAGTTCGGATTCAAGACAATGCCAATGTGCCACTTTGAACATCTTGTGTATATAGTGTGTATATATAGTATGAATATCATATGGCTTTGATCTCCTTTCTGATGCGCACGACAGCCGAGGATATTGAGAAGCTTTATAATATTTGGTCACGGTACCACGATGATCTTGGATGTCCGCAATATGATGAAAAGCCCACGTTCACACCAGAAGAATCGGGCTGAAAAAGCAGGTTGAAGAGGGCCTAATGAGCTCCAGTTGTATGGCGTGTGTTGTTTGCTTGTATATATAACATTACATAACATTACGTATATCAAATATGTATGTATACATTATATATATATATATTCTTTGTGCATCCACATTGTGCACATGTGGCAGGTGCATGTGAGGCAGTATTGAGTCATTTTGTTGGTTGCCTCACCCTGGAGGACTTTGACACTTTCTATGGAATCGCCCAGCAAGTTGTTGACGCCATGGTTGATGAGTATCAAGTCCCCATGCTGTTGGACCAAGCAACCATCAGCAACACAAATCACTACGGTCATCCACCTCACGTTGCCCCTTGCCTAGTTCCAGCATCTCTCATATATATATATATATATAATATTTGTTTCTGCCATGAGTAGTGCTTTGCTAGCGGCTGGCCGCACCTAGACTTGACTCTTGCAAAAAAAAGTGCCGTGTCAGAGATCGTGTGCACCTGCCGCCTTGAGGACAACCTCCGCTTTGATTCTGTTTGGAGGGATGGCAAGCGCGTCCCTGTGGACGAGGAGCTTTCTGCAGCCAGAAGTGGTGCATACATTCTGTGGAGGACAGAGAAGACGTCTTATCGAAGTTACAGTTGTTCTGTGGCGCTCTCGGATCCTGGTGGCATCTTGGCAAAAATAGAGGAATGCATCGATGCAAGAGGCAAAAAAGAAGAGCCTCTGCCGCGACCGCAGCTTAAAGAGTAGAACAGAACATAGAACTGTAGAACTACTGTTTACTTTAAGGAGGCAACGAGGTTATTTCTGGTGTAAGCCGTCGACTCGAGTGTGCAAGGCTATGAGGGAGGAGAATTGCAATTCTTCGACCAGTGGGGTTCCAGGAGCCCAGTGGCTCGCTACAAGTGTGCTGAAGGATGCGGTATTGCTTTTTGTGGCTGCCACCGAAACATCCACGCAGTGACTGGAGTCAAGCGGGGATTTCGCCTGGTCCTGTTAGTTTGGACACGGCCTCCGGGCGTTCGAGTTCCAGAAGGACAAGACCAGGTTTGCTACTTCAGACCCGGGACAGGAGATGGCTGTTGGCTGCACACTGCAGAGATCCGACGTGGTTTGGCAAGGCGTGGGCAACGAGAGTTGGTTTGGGATCCGAAGCCCGAGTCCGATGATGAGTCATGCAACTGCCAAGACTGCAGAGAAGAAAGAGGGAGAGTATCCTGGAAAGAGCTTTGCCTGCCACAGCCATTGCTTCTTATGAAATACTACTTGGTTTCCAAATGTCTGAATGTTTTGAACTGTTATTAAAGTACAATATTTAATATCTATAAATTACTGTAAAAAAACAATATATATATACACACCTGTTTGGAAGATATGTTTTGATGGTTTTGGCCTTTAGTGGCCCCTGTTCTTTGCTGTCCGTTTATATCCAACCAAGGAATGCATGCGACACATGCAAGGATCTCCATTGAAGTCCACACCTAGCACCAGCGCTGGCAACTCACCTCGCAGCCCATCCGTGGAGATTGCTCCTACTTGTCAAGAGTCAGGTGCTCCGACGACGTCCCCCGGCAAAAGCTTGGCATACAAGGAGCAGCAAGGCGAAGAGCAATTGGCAACTAACAGAAGCACCAGCCGCAAAGTGAACTTGAAAGGAATACCAGCCACTCCACCCAGTTCAAATGAGAAGTCACTCAAGAAGGGGACCTCACCCAATCGAAAAATGTACGGGCTTTCCACTCGCTTATGTCCATGCACCCCCATGGGTTTGAGAATCTGCAATGGTACATTGTATTTCCAGTATACAAGATAAAAACGCAAAAATATCAAAAAAGAATTGTATAAAAGGCAACAAAAGTTCAAAAAGAAGCAGAGATGCAAAAGGCTACTGAAGATGAGGTCTGACGGCGTAGCACAAAAATAAGCAACGTTGCATATCGTTGCACTTTTGTGACAAGGCATGTTTGTAGAGCTTGCCAGTCAACCATGCTGAAACGGTTGGGGTCCTTGGGGGTGGAGAAGGCTGGAGAAGGCCCCACCTGCCCTACCCACCAATGCCAAGGAAGTCCAGAAAAGTTTGCCGACAGCCAGTGACACTATGTGGACCGCATGGGCGTCAGGAATTGACTGGAATCCTCACTGAAGAAGAGATCAGGACTTCGGTCATGTTGGCTGGACTGCAGCGACTTCAACCTTTTTCAGTTCAACCCTTGTTAGTTGTGATAAACTGTGGTTAACTATTTATGTGGATTGATATAATGACTAACCCTCTCTCTCTCTCTCGCTCTTTTTCTTTATTTATTTTAAATACTATTTTTTTCCAGACGCATGCCGTGCTAAAGGTACAGATCATCACCAACATTGTCATCTGAGGGTGATTCAAATGGACCGAACAGGGGCCCTCGCCAACTCTTGGCACAAATTAGAACTGAAGGCCTACAATCTACAATTCATGTGAAAGAAAGGAGAGTGACAGAGTGATAATAAATAATTAATGGAGAGATAACAACCCTGAGGCCCTGAGGACAAGACACGATTCTATGAGCACAACGTGAGTGACAGATACATGATAGAGGAATCTGGCGTCAGTAGTGCATGTAACCAGCCCCTTCAATGTGGCTGGACGTGCTCCAGGCACAAGCAAACCATAACGGCAACAGCAGCTGGGTTGTTGAGCATGCGTCGCAACATTAGACGCCCAAGCTGTCCTGCCTGACCTGCCATGCCCTCCCTGTTTGTGAGTGAGAGTGCGTGATAGTCTGTGATCGTGTGCTCAACCACTTTGCTTTTTTGCACATCATACATAACGGGCGTGTCTCTCACAGGACGTTGCATGAAATTTGGAAAAGACATCACGATGACCTGAGCAATCCATGGTACAACAAGAAACCGCGGCTTGGCAGTGGAGCTAGAGCAAGCCTTGACAAGTTGAAGCAAGACGATGCGATTCAGATGAAGTTCAAAGCATCCATTGGAGATGTTGTGGCATGAACACGTGGCAAAATGTGGCAATCAATAAATTAAGCATGCAGCTTGCTGAGGGTGTTCTCAAATACGGAGTTTGATGCTTTCAATTCTATTGCTCAGAAGGTTGTTGATGCCGCTTGGCTCAGCGCTGGTGCTTGTGATGATGTATTGCAATGACTGTTGACATTCGTCCGACATGAATGGCAATCCGCAATCAGGCCATGGCTGTGAAGTTCGAACAGCCTCTTGTGCTCGATCAAGCTGCTGTGAACAGTACGAACAAATTTGGACACCCACCCCATGCTGACAATGTGCAGTTCGATTCAGCTCTGTGGCTGCACTCCGAAAAGTCTCGGGACGACTGTGTCAGGTTGTTAGTACTTCTTTTTCATAAGGTTTGGTGGGACGGGCGGCAGATCAAGCAGCGAGATGAAGTGGAGGCAGCACGCGCTGGGGCAGAAGTCCTGTGGAAAGAATCGAAGACCACGAGCTACAGGAGCCGGTTGCAATTTAATGGCAGTTGCAATTTGCAAATCCAAATGTTTAGTTTAGTATTTCAACTAAACTGGGAAGCCTTGTGAAGCCTCTGAAGATTCAAAGGCAGTATAGTCTGTGAGAGATTAGAGAGTGAGCCACATTTAGTTTTGCAAGCTGCAGCGCCTACCTGCATGCGCCCACGTCTTCTAGTGTACATAGATAGATTTGATAACACAGGCATCGCTACTAGGAACAAGGACGCTACTAGGGGTAGATTTGATAGCTTCAGTGGTCGGATTCTGTTTTGCGGTGCGGTGACTGTCGGTTTTGTTGGTTTGGTTGGTGCTTGTGGGCTAGCGGCTAGCAGCTACCGTGCAAGCCGCCAACCAAGGTCTTGCAATTGCAATGTTCAACTGCTCAGGAACTACAGCGCCTCCATCGCCTTGACAGATCCGGAAGACTATGGTGGTGGAGAGCTAGAATTCTTTGGCACCTGGGGTGCCCACATGCATGTATTTGTTGCACTGGTGGAGCGTTGGGAAGTTGGCGGGATTGATGCTAGATTGATTGTAGAAACACGTTGAGAAGGTCAATTGGACTTACAAACCTGCCACGCCCAAGAATGAATGGCCGTGGTGGCGCATTAGTGCAGCTTTCGCCTAGAAGGTGCATTCTGCAAATTGTTCGGACCTCTTGTTTTATGCAGCATGACAGGCTCCAAGAAGCCAACCGTATCTATGCGACTGCCAGCGGGAAGTGGTGGCTTGTTGAACTTAGCTCCATTTTTCGAGATTGCCCTTTGCTCCTAGTAGCGTCCTTGCTCCTAGTACTAAGGCCAGGAGCCCCTAGTAGCGTCCTTGCTCCGAGTAGCGATGCCCTTTGCTCCTAGTAGCGTCCTTGCTGCCGCCTGGCCTTAGAGTCACTCACGATCGAGCTAAAGAGAACATGTCAGATTGTCACCTTGTGTGGGCAGGTATGGCATTCTGCGGCTGCCAGAGAAGCATTCATGCCGTGACTGGTGTGAAATGGGGCTTCCGGCTGGTTCTTTTGGTTTGGACTCGGCACCCTGATGCGGTGGTTCCCAAAGATCAGCTTCATGTATGCTACTTCCGGCCTGGCTCCGGAATGAGCATTTGGTTGACATCAGAAGACCTCCGAAGATATGGCAAAGGAAAAGGCAAAGGAAGACGGAGCGGAAGGAAAAGCCTTCCAAGTCTTCCTGACGAGTCAGAGCAAGATGATATGCTGGAGGATCTTTCAGACTGAGCATCTCTGAAGTGCTATGAACTCAGAGCGGACTTAAATTTGAGTCTTAGAGTCTAAGTGTCTTGACATTTCACCAGCAGTTTCCAATGGGGCTTTTTTTGCACGAGACCACGATTCCAGACCTGTGTCCACTGTGCCACAGCCATGCAACCCACTAGTTTTCCTCCTTTCACATCTTTACTACACCGGCACATCAGTGGTGCAGCACCCCCATGCTGAAACTGCAAAGTGAAGGCACACAGGGGCGGCATGCGGTCACCACCAGTGGTGAAGGGAATGTTATGCCTCCTTCTCCACGCCCATTCGGCACCAGCGCGTTAACCACGAGGCGCGCGTTGTTGCAAAATGAGAGTGGCCTGCGAATCTGACGTAGAAATGAGATGAAATGAGTCGTACGAGGTGACCATTTGGAGTAGTTGTTTGTCACTCGCACGAAGGTCTGGCTTTCTATTTCTTTCATGTCAACTGCTCAAACCAGATTTCGGATGCAGTTGATCTCAAGTGCTTGAAGCATTTTGAAGCTAAGAACAGGCGATTGTTGCAATGGCAGGTGCACCTTAGAAATGTTTGTTGAGGACATGAAAGAGTAACAATCCTTATAATACCAATAGCAGTCACTGGATTTTGCTCACGCGATGGACCCAGCGGCAGTGGAAGAATTCCGAAAGCTAGAGCAGGAGAAGAACAGATTGGAAGGAGAGATAAAGCATTTATACGAGTACTTGACAGAAGATGGAATCTCGAATGCACTTTAAAGTCGAGTGATGACGTGCAAAAAGATGCAAATGGTAGAATTGCCCTTTCACGTTGCAAGCTGCGCTTCATGATGCCTCAGCAGTTTTGCTGTCGTTTATATTTTGTATAACAAATTAACAATATATATATATAAAATGAATCTCTGTGTGTGTTCGTTTTTCAGACCAAGTCCGGATTCAGAAAGCGAGTTGCGCTGAGATTAGTGTTTGAGAGCTGGGTGGGCGAGATAGATTGGCCCCAACTGTCTTCTGCAACTGAAATCTTTATTTCAGGATCATACTATGACATAGGGCTGTTGATAAACTGGGAACCTAGAAGCGATGTTGATGTTGGCCAAAAGTGTGCTGAGGCATGCCTGGCGTAGCAGGTCCTCTTGTAGACGACGAGGGCTTCCCCAGAGGTGACATTGACCTCTATGCTGTCCGGCAAGCTCGGAACAAGTATGCTTGCGCCCAGACAGATCACCAGGAGGTCATGAGAAAGATAGAAGAGGCCATGCCTTTGAGCAATTTGAATGGGATTTGCCGAGGTTTGACCACTTGCAGTGTGTTGTGGCGCAGAGTTCTGAAAGGTCCCGGGCGACTCCTTGTGTCAGGCAATCTTAGCGATCCACGCGACGACAAAAGTGGACGTGCCTCGTGCGAGCCCACCTGACACAAAGATGGACGAGGAGGAAGTGTCACCTGACAATGTCCTCCTCCAGGTGAAACTGACCACGCCATTCGTATCTGGCAGAAACACGCTCACAGTGTGAAATTGTCATTGCAACAATCTATATAGCATAAGTCACTGTTCCTTGGACTTGAAAAGTTGTGGGCTGCAAGCCTAAATCTGAGGCAACAATTGATGAGGTTAGCATGGCCTCGCCAGCAGAGACAGCTGGCCTCCGCGTTGGCGACCAAATTTGCCGTTTTGGACCTGTCTCCATTCAGGAGCATCTTGTGCTCTTACTGACTGCGCGACTTGAAAGTTGCAAAACTGGTGCATGCCGGGCAGCTTGTGGTAGAGTGCAGTAGCTTTGTCGTACCATTGCAGGACACAGGAGATTTGAACGCATGCTTCAATGCCATCCGTGAATTGGTGCCCAAAAATGTTGGAAATGCCATCAGCGTGGTCGTACTGCGTCCACCTCTCAGATCGCTGGGTTTGCGGCATGGGAGTGTCACACTATGTACCCCTGGAACGTTTGTTCTTTGATTTCAGGTGGTGAGCCGCCTGTTCGAACAGAGCTTGAACTGATACCTCAACAGTGGGCCGGTCGCGGATTGCTTGGTTGCCACATGGCACCAAAGCTCTAGAACTCAGAGTTGGTTGCTTTGATTTTGGGGTCACCACTGTACAGGAAGGTGGAATTGCCTGGACAGTTGTCTTGCAGGTTCACCAGGAGAGAACAGACCCATGTGAGCTGAGCATTGGCCCGCATCGAGAAACGGCCTCGTTCAACTGCAATCTGTTATTTCATGTTAGTTTGCTTGTAAATAATTGTGCCAGATCACTGTGAACGTTTGATCATGTTCTTACATGTTCTTCATGGTTCCCTAACGTTCATGTGTAGCAAAATCGGAGGGCAAGGCACCGTGCAAGCGGGAAAATGCCCAGGCCACACCAAGCTCTCCACAGCCCAGACCTGGCCTTCGCGCTCAAGCTGCACATCAGAGCGAATCATATGGCAGTGTTCAACCTTCCTTACTCCCACACCAACGTTGTCATTCAACATTTTGACTGGCACCACCCCCAAACCGTGCCACTTGCAAACCTTGATTGCCAGATATTGCAAGCGTGTTGCTTGGTTGGCCGGGGTGTTGTGGGAATTATCCTGGTTGGTTGTGTTTCAAGTTTCATGTGATTGCATTCGATCAAGGCCTGCTCGGAGCTGCATAGGCCCTTCGAGATGGCACGAGTTCCGGCCTTGGGCTAATTGCGGCAGCCTGCCAATTTTAAGACATATGCCCGTCAGGTCCAGAAGCCTCAGAAAGGCAAAGGTGTTGCCAAATGGTTCCCATTCTGATCAATGCGTCTGTAGCATGGATCCTTTGTGAGCCAGTTGGTCTTACTTGAATTCTTTTTCTTGCGGGTGCTTCATCTTTGGTTGAACGTCCCGCCTTTGTCGGCTGCACTTTTGTACAGGCAGCGCAATAAGTAGGCTTAGCGCTAGAGTCGCTAAAAATCTTGTAGGATCGTAGGTAGGCTTTGTGCCCGAGGGATACGCCTCAGAGGGCCAGCGTTGCACATGCGAAGAGGAGTGCAGGTAAAGAACATCAGCGTGTTCCGCCTATTCTCCGTTTTCCACGCGTAGACTAGATCAGCAATGATCAGTCAATATATCCTATGCAAACTCAACTTTGGCAGGTAGCCACCGGCTGCATGCGCCTGGCCGATCTATTGGCAGGATCTTCTGAGTGCGTTGACTCATTTCAGCCAAGCAATGTGCGGTGTGCAGGTGCCATGGGCTCAAGATCCAGGTATGCCGATGCTGCTGACCATGCATGTTTGACGACATCTTCCTCCGTAGCATCCAATTTTGTGTTCCTCAAATCACACGCTCAGCGTAGCATTGCATAAGATGTCAAGTATGTATAACATGTACTTCAGCATCAACATTAACATTATGTCAAATTTTAACACAATGACACTCGATGTGATAAAAACTGTGATGCACCCGACATTAGCAACTTAACCAGGGCGCCCTACTGAGTTGTTATATGATTGAGAGGGTACCCCTCTGAAAGTTGAGACATTGATCAGAGCAGGAACAAGACCCTTCTGGCCCAATGGAAAGCGCCGGGGTGTGAGGGATCAAAAAAAAGGTACAGCATTAAAACACAAAATATTCAACGGGATATTCAACGGGGATCAAAAAAAGGAATCACGAGAAACATATTCCCAGTGAGCAACGAAAGGAAAAAGAAACTAGGGAAAGGACAACAGCAGCAGGGCGGGCGACCAGAGGATCATGAAAGGGTGTTTGCAACACATATTCAAAATCAAAAAACTTAGGCCAGGGTGTGCAATATTTGGTGTGGATATGCGATGAGGTGGCCGTGGCAGGCCCAGTGCATTGGCCAAAGTAGTGCAGATTTCGTGGCACCGGAGCGGGGTTGCACACTACAAAAGCCACCAGACGCTGAAGGCACCACAAAATATATACATAATCATCGAAAACCACACACACTGTTGCCCAGTCAATGAGGGGCTCATCCACCACAGGACAACGAAAGGATGCTTGCAACCGCTTGCAACAGAAAACCAAAATGACTTAGGCCGGTGCGTGCAATATTTTGTGTGAGCGATGGGTGCCTGGGTGACCTTTAGAAAATCTGTCGTGGTAGGCCCAGCGCATTGGCAAAAGAAGTGCAGATTTCGTGGCGCTGGAGGGGGATTGGGGGGAGGGCGCAGCGCCTCCCCCCAGAGCGAACCAAACATCAAAAGCCATTAGACTCAGAAGGTACCACAAAATAGATCACTATCGAAAACTACACACCCCATTGTCTCATCAATTAAGGGCACTCAGAAAGTGAAGCAAGGACCAAGGTAACCGGGTAGCGCTTTGTTTTCGCAAACCTCGTGCTTTTGACCAATATTGACCAATGAACCGCGAGGCCGGCGGACCAGGAAAGGGACCAGGGGACAAAAGGACTAGGGGACCAATAGACGAGGGCACCGAACCACAAGGGGACCAATGGACCAGGGGACCTACTCAGGATTATTACTGTATATGAATGTGTGTATTTATAATGTTCTTCTATTTTTGATACTGTTTGTTTTTTGATCAATGTTTGTCTTTTGATCTAGATGCCAGTTGCGCGGGGGGGTGCTAATGAATTTCTGGCAAAAATGAAGCAGCAGAAAGCTACATGTAGGCAATTTGCCAAAAGTGCGGGACTCCACCTTGAATGAAATATGTTTGGGAAGATGCCTGTTGTCCTGTGCCCTCAGGTTTCTGCCATAGACTTTTAGGAGGAGTGAATCGTTCCAGAACATGACGGCCAACAAGAATGGTTTCGGAGAAGTTGGATGTTCAAGCCTCTTATTGTAAAATCAAACTGGTGAATTCAGCTTCAATTCCTCAATTTCTATGATCGCCGAGTTGCATTGCAAAAGCAGCTTCATTTTTTTGAATTTCAATATGGCACGTGCCAGGCACGCAAGCTTCGTTGGCGTGGAGGCGATTTCACATGATTTCACATGCTCCTTTACAATTTCCTGTGCCTACCACTGGGCCAGGTGCCATGACGGCTCTTGAATTTGAGTATTTCGCAGTGTGCCTTGGATGATGCCAGAAGATAAGAAAAGAAAGATAAGAACGCTTTGAACAGAGTTTGCAACCCTTGATCTTCAGGCGAGAACTTGGTTTGGACTTAGCAACTGCACAGAAGGCCGGCCCATGCTAGTGTGAGCAACTATGGAAAACTATTGGAAAAACGTTTGAGACATTGACACAGAGGGGTGGGCCCCATGTTGTGGGAGGCATTTGCATCTTCTGTGGAGGTGCACCGTTTTTTACTGGTGCAGCATGTGTAGTTATTTGTACTCTATCCATTTGCTCTTGAAGCGTTGCTTTCCATGTCCTTGGGTTTGCAAGCTCTCACGCCTCGGCCCTGTACACTGCATTCTTAGGGTACAAGATGGTGGTGGTACTTTTTCGATTGTGTGAGAATTACTTAGTGATCGTGTTTGGGAGGCGCAAGCACAAGCTCAGGCACGCCCTTCATTCTGATATGTGGTGAATGCATGTGTGCTCTCATGACAAGCATGCCCTCAATTTACATTTAGTCAAATAGCTCAAATGGGATCTTTGCATGATAAAATGTTGCGCGCGGCCGCGGGAAGTCTTTGGTTCCAAAGAAGAGTGGAGAAGCAACGCATAGCGGGTGCGGCTCAGAGCTTGGGGTTTGCTGCAGTTTGCTTGCTCAAAGGGAATGCCTAGATTCTTAGATGCAATCCCTGCTGCTGCAAAAGCATTATAGAGATGAGACATTGCATGATATTGCCAGGTGTTGTTTGTCGCATTGTGAATTCTCAGGCCATGTCATCCGCCGGGGGACAGCGGCCAGCGGCGAACCGCATGACGCTGCAGCCGCTAATCCGAAAGCCTCAATCTTTCATTATTTCCACTGCCGCGGGGGCATTTGGCTGGTAGGGGAAGTCATTCACCAGTAAGAGTAAGTAGCTGAGCTGGAGGCCAAATGGAAGATACGTGCATCAGAGCGTGTTGGAAGGGAGCCATGTTAATCTTGACTTCCATATGCTCTTTATTCCAGAAAGGCAGACTGAAGGTCCAACAGTGTTAGACATGGAAAAGATCAGGACTCGGCGCACGATGTTTTTTGTCATAACATGTTTTCCTTTGTTTTCCTTTTGGAACTTGGGCGACCATGACCAAGCCAAGGACCTTCAAGGCGCGACTAGGAGGAGCTTCCAAAGGCAGGGATCAAGAGAGAGAGAGAGAGAAAGAGGGGGGGGGAAGTGTTGATGCTTGTTATATGCCTCGAATGAGTTTTCAGAATCACTCTCTATCACCCTCTTGTACTGCTTTTTGCTTTTTGATTTGCCCGTATCTTCAAATTGGTTTGCAGAGGTTTCAAGTTGCTGAAGAAGAAAAGGGATGCCCTCAAATCTCGGTTTCAAGTGACTTGGTGACAGACGCAGGCTGCACGCACAATGCTTGGGCTTTGAATTAAGGGAGTCTATAATATTATATGACTTCTTTTGTGTGTTAAGTATGGACCTGGTATCGTGGCTCACTGAGGCGCTTCTCAAGGACTGCACCTTTCTGCAGCACTGTCCAAACAAAAGACCCCGTTGAATGTGCATGCAAGGATATTGTAGACACCAAGCTTAAGGTCGGAGAGAGCCTCAAGGACAAATGACTTACTGTAAGATGTGCCAGCTAGACGGGGTTCGTTGCATGTTTGTGAATTTGTGAATGTAGAAGTCCTTTCATGCCCCTAATTTGTATTATATAATTTAATTTATAATGTTTGCATGAAGGATGGTGCATTTGCACTGGCCAAAGCTCACTATGCCAGCTCTGGGGATGACATTGCTAGCTCCATCGTTGAAAGGGTGCACGGCTGAGTTATGCTTTTTGCTGTTGACAATTTAGTGGAGCAAGACTGAGCAAGGGAATGCCTTGGAGACATTAAGGCGAAGAAGCCCTCGGTGACAACCAAGATGTACCCCGACAACGTTGCGGGCGATCTGTTCTCAGAGGATAACCCCAAAAAAAGACGCAAATGCAAGGAGTAGTGTGTAAGTCAGTCACTTAGTAAAATTTGGAAAAAGAGAAGCCTTTCAGGTTCCTTTTTCAAGCCAAGGTGTCCATCCCAGTGTTCAAAGTGCTCCGGAATGCCTCGCAGGAAGCGATAGAGCCTTGGCACAAAGACTGACACTTTCTGCATCATAGTATCACATGACTCCCGAGAGAGAGAGAGAGAGAAAGACAATAGATGTGATTGGGTTCCTTCATTGGTTGGCCTTTAGAAATCTCCGTGCCAGGCGTTGCCCCCCCCAAAAAAGAAAAGACTATAAAAGACATTCAAAGACTTGTTTCCACTTCAAGATGCAATGATCATTCGAAAGTGATCACTTCCAGGCCATTCTCCATCATTTTCCATGTGTTGTGTTTGCGTGTTGGGTTTAGGCACATACAATGGGAGTGGGATCTGGTGGTGCTGTCCTGAATGCAACTCGCGACACCTACCTGAAAGCTGTGCGCCTTTGTAGCAAATTGGCAGCCTCTTTCAATAAGTGGAGACGTTGTTTTGGCTGATTGCATTTACCAGAGATGAGCATAGCAGATTTGGCAGTCGATTCGTGACCCTGAGGGAATGCATCGTGCAGCTAGCTTCTTTGCAGACAGCTTTCCACACCCTTGACGAGGAAATCAAGATGACTAGCCGACGAGTTGCTTGGACGTGAGCATTTGTGCAACATAAAATTAATGGCAGCAGATTGCAAGCATGGCGCAGCTGAGATAGCATGAGCACTGAAGAACTGCAGCTGAAGACATGACATGCAATGCTGGGACATCTATAGATTTACACACTCCATAATCTAGTTATATAGGTGAATGCTTTGGAGTACGTCCTGATCCCCAGGATTGAGGCGCGGGCGGTGTTGATTTCATAAGTTTCCGAGTTGTTTGCGCCACGCGTCACAGGACATCATTCACTACATTACCCAGGAGATGGATGAGCAGGCCGACCATATTGGTCTGTGGCGTCAAAGTGTTCCTCAATTCCTGCCAGGCACGAGAGGAGTTCTTCAGAGTCAAAAAGGTTGTGGAAAAGAAAAAGGTGAAGCTAGTGCGAAACTTAACTTGGCCTCAGCTCATCAACCGCTCTCGCTTAGCTCTTGCAGGTTGCTTGTTGCCTGACTATCCGCAGGCCAAGGAAAAGGAACAAGCCGAAAAGAACGAAGCCCGAGCCAAAGTTCAAGGGACTGAGACTTCATACTCGGCATGAATTATATAAATTTCCCAGGGCTCAGAAACAGCTGAGGCAGCCATTGATGCAGCTGGGCTTTTGGTGGCGTGCCCTTTGAGTCTAGTTTGGAACCAGCACGATGAGCGATATAAAAGCAAGTCACCGGCGACATCAAGAGCCAGGGAGTGTGCAAAGACTGTGCATATGGGACAGAAAAAAGATAAACAAGGAAATGACATAGCTTCTTGCTCCTAGTAGCGATGCCCTTTGCTCCTAGTAGCTTCTTGTTCCTAGTAGTATGGCCAGGAGCGCCCCTAGTAGTGTCCTTGCTGATAGAAGCGATGCGCTTGGGTGCCAGCTGAGGCACCAAGCATTTTGCAGAAAAAGGACGCTGACATCGTCTTCTGAGACCTTCTGAGCGGATCCGGTTTCTACAAGTGACCAACGAACTAGCCGCAAAGGCTGCAAGGGTATTGTAAAGAAAAGCGTTTGAAGCCAGACAAAGACCGTCAAAGTTGGGCACTTGTACAAAATACTGGGGTGCCTTGACTCAGTGCTTGCAGTTTTGGCTGAGTGCTTCAGCCTATCTCAGGATCGGAGGAAAATAATGGAAAATGTATCCCTGCCAAAGTGGTGCAGCATGGCAGTGCTGTGCAAAGTACAGTAACCGTGCAAATCTCTTGGAAAGGCTAAGAACCTTGTTCTGCTAACCTCGCCCCTTGACAGCATTGACGTCACAATGCTGGCCAAGGCCAGCATGCACTGTGCACAAAAGGCAGAAGATGCAGAAGGCTAATACGAATCGGACAGGCTTTGGAGGACTGCGCTCAAGATTCCGCTGACCCCGGCTTTGTGCTAGAGGCAAGTGACATTGAACGAATTGAAGAGTGTGAGGGGCAGTGCGTTGTGGCACTCAAACAGTTCCGAAGAAAATCAGATGCAATCAATGTTGCTGTGTAACAGTGTTCTTTGTTCGATATTCGATTAGCATGTTGGGAGGCCCGCCTTGAACTGGACTGGCAGTCTGTAGGCCAGCTATGAAGGACATGCTAAGTACAGATTTGCATATTTAAAGTTGTGCACTTGCATGGCAGGTTTGGCAGGTGCAAATGCAGGTGAACTGAGACTTTTTGCTGCAGAACTGCAACTGGAGTTGCAAAAAGGCTCTCGCCACCAAACCTGAATGCCAGACAACTTCAAATCAAAGGGTGCTTGGAGCAGAATCTAGCAAATCTAGCAGCAGCAGCAGATTACAGCCAATTATATAATACCTAAGCCGTGAAGTTGTTTCTCTTTGTGGGGGGGGTCCTTTAAGCTCCACCAGCTGTGAGCACCACCTTGTAGCCAAGGCAGCCCCGTGAGCTGCCCAAGGCGCCTCCTATGTCTCACAACTTGAGAGAGAGAGTTAGAGAGAGAGAGCCTAATAAAAGCGATAGCCGCCCTCCTAATAGCCATGGCCTCCAACCTAATAGCGATGGCCTCCAACCTAATAGAGTCGCTACAGATTGTATGGAGTTGTTCTTTGCGCCGGCTTCACCCATCTTGAGAGAAACTATATATAGTCTATAGTTCATAACGTGAGTCGCCGTTTCCAGTGGCACTCTGCGGTGTAGTTGCCCATGCTGTGCCCATTCGCAGTAGTAGCAGCAACGGCAACCATGTCAGATCTACAAAAGGACATCATATTTGATATTTGTTGCTCAGGACCCTGTGCTGGTGCAACTAAATGCAAGGGAAGCTGAATTGGGCTACGGCACATGTGGCTGTTTCAGCCTGAGATTGGCCTCAATTCTGCTCGCAAATGTGAAAGTTCTCAGATCCAGCCTGAAAGGAGGCAAACAGTCACTGGACGGTCAACTAATTGGATGAGAGAGAAGCACTAGAAGAAGCACTTTAAACTATAATAACTTGATTCAACTTGATGATGCAAAATCACTGTAAATTGCCTGTGCTTGACCATAGGGAAGTTGGCGTATGCTTGCCTTGAGATTCTGCCCCCGGCGGCATGGCCACCTTGAACAGAGTGCCCCCAGCACATTCAAGCAGGCATGGGTCATGGGTGAGTAGCAGTAGCAAAGATTTTCAGGAGCAAATGAGCTCATGTTAATGGCGTGCTGCTAGGCCTCACACGCCCCGGACTATCAACTTGGCGTGTGCCTTGAACTTAGCGCATGACGGATTGAGGGTCAGATGTACAGCAAGTGGACAGACAAGATGATGTGGGATTTTTTTGCATTGAAAACAGGGCTTTGTTCCCCAAACACTGTGGTCGCACTTAGGGTTCTCACAGCGGGCTGGGTTTGAACATTAAAGCATATTAAAGCCAAATCTTGAATAATATCACCCCTCAGAATAATGTAACAATGTCTACTACAATTGTTGGCCGACAATCTTTTCTTTACAACCGTCCTGATTTCTTGTTCCTTTCTTCTCCAAAGCTGCCCACTCCACCAGATTCCACGTGTTACTGTAGCTCTTTATGAAATCCCTTTAAACATGTTGTATACATATATGGTTGTGGATAAAAAAAGGTCCTAATACATAGCGTTGACTACGATGACCCTGGAACATGTCAAAACCTCATTTGGCGAAATCACGAAAGGTAGCTTGAGCTACCTGAGTTCTCCTTGCTTTAGCAAAAATGTATTAAAATCAGGAGTTGGGATTGTGCATTGAGTTTGGTCCTGTAAGAGTTGATTCTGTTCGTCGGGGGGGGGGCCACCCCCCCCCCTGGATCAAATCCCCCCTGCGCCGGTTCACGCCGTCATGGACTTCTACCAGGGTTACTTGTGATTGCCTGCTACCTTTCGTTCACCCCCTCCTCTCTCAAGTATGTTTATCGAGTTCGCGAACGTATTTTTTTTGGCGATGGATATGGTTAAAGATGTTCTTTCTGCTGCTGTTGCTACTACTACTACTACTACTACTGCTACTACTACTGCTACTACTACTGCTCCTGCTCCTGCTCCTGCTTCGGGGGGGCGGCTTTGCCACAAAACTCTACCCCGCAAAAGGCGATAGTTTGGCGAAAGTTCAGCTCAAGATTGGCGAAAGTTGACCCTGCCACATCTGACCCCCAGCCCATTATGGGGAAGTCTGAGTGACCGGCTGCTACAGTGATTCTTGCTATTTTTATTCTTGCTGACACCCAGGAGAAACAAAAGACACGTACAGGGTGGCCGGGTGTCAACAGTTATATAAGTAGAAGACACATATGCTGACCAACAGTGAAGTCTTTGTTTTGTATTTGCCAGTAAAGAAGAAGCCGTTGACATGAACAAAATTGATATCCATCATACAACACACATGGCACACATAAATACAATATACTTCGGCAAAAGATGTAACACAGACAGGCGAAAGTTTGGCTACAGCTTGGCGAAAGTTTGCCTAAGAATGACGGATCCCAGATAATGGAATTTAGACCAACACCCATATGTATATATATATATATATATGAATATATATATATATACAATTGCAAAGAACAGTTCTAAAAAGGGGCCAGCCCAGTAAAGTCCACATCTTGAACAATATCACCCCCGAATAACGTCCAATTTTTGTTTGGGTTTGTGCTTCTCATGCGTACGTTCTCATATGGGTGCTTTCATGTGGTTGCTCACATATGTGTGCTCACATGTGTGTTTGTGTGTGGAGCCCTTGGAATCAGAGGGAGCCTGTCGGTTAGTCAAAGCACACACACACACAAACATACCGTACCAAACGATGCACGGCCATCCAGGTTTTTGTTTTTCTTCTTTTTCCCATCTATTTGGTTTCCCGGACCCTTTCATTCGCAAGTACGTATTTTTTCTGCTTTGCTTTCACGTCCCTCCGTCTTCATGTCTCTCCATCTCATCCTTTCCCTTTTTTTGCACGCACATTTGTTTGGCCCTTAACGCGCACGTACGCATTTAAGTAATCTTCAAACTTCAAACCAGGCTGACCGGCGCCCCAGGTTTTCTTAACGAGGTTTGGCATGGTTTGGTTCATGTGTTTGTCCCTGGTCACGTGGTTTCCCCTTCATTGCCTCGGCCTACATCGCATGCCTTCTTTCATGTTTTTCTTTCATGTCCTTTCATTTGTCGTTTTTGCGTGCGTGGGCTGACACTGAGGCCAAAGACACGCGGCACAACCTGTCGCTTGACCACTCCACCTTCCTCCTTCCTCCTTTCTTCCTTGTTCCTGTATCATCACGGACGCTTTGTTATTTTACATTTTCCTAGGGATCCAAATTTACAATTCTTATTATTGACTTCCCCTAGGCTCGTGCACTACCCCCTTGCAAAATTGTTTGGGGCAATGAAATCGTTGAGTTTTAATAAGCGTTGTTTAAAAACGATTTCCAGTTCAGAATTCCATGAATCAAGCAAACCTCAGGAGAAGGATTTCTAAAGGGGAGCAAAAGCAGAACAATAGAAAAGTAAACAAAAAAGCACACCGGGCGATTTTGTTTGTTATTCCCCCATTAAACTATTCATGGTGTGGGAACATTTTGTCAAACACAGTTTTTTCCCCTCCCATCTTGCTAACTAGGATTCGACACAATTGCGAGATGCCTGGCGGGCCTGCAATGGAACCAACTTCACAAAACCAGTAACAGAGCAGCACAAGCCCTCGAGGCCGCAGCTCTGATCCACAGGACAAACCACATATTATCCTGGCCAAATACATCCGCCACTGAACGACTCAAGCACACTTTCACTAACGGCACTTCACAGCCAGTTCAGCCTTGCCACTTTTGTGACGCAGCCGAACTCGAACGCAACCGGTTGCGCGAGTGGCAATGCAGAGCACTTCGCACCACACCTACCAACTTGCCAGGCCCGTTGCATTGCTGGCTAATGTAGCTTGGCCTTTCAATCCCGGCTCTGAGCTTTTGACAGTTGAGCTTGCCAAAGCCCGCAGCAGGATCCTCCACCAACGCTATCCTTGATAGCACTACCCTCGCGGCGGTTGGCCGCTCGTGTGCTGCAGAAAGCCCTAGCACGGCTACTGCAGTTACTATTACTACTACTACTACTACTCCTCCTACTACTCCTACTCCTACTCCTATTGCTACTACTACTACTCCTCCTCCTACTCCTACTGCTACTACAACTACTCCTCCTCCTACTCCTACTGCTACTACTACTGCCACTACTACTACTCCTCCTACTCCCACTGCTACTACTACTCCTCCTACTCCTACTGCTACTACTACTGCTACTACTACTACTGCTACTGCTACTGCTAGTACTACTACTACCGCTGCTGGTGCTGCTGCTACTTCTTCTACCTCTACTTTTGTTATTAGATAACAGTGCCGTGTTTGTCCTGCTGGTGTTCACAATTCGTTATCTCAGGGGTTGCCGCCAGCACGACAATTCCCTTGTTTGTTTGGAATTTCACAGGCTATGTTTCTGCAAGTGGCCGGCTTCAACCATTGCCACGTGACCATGCGACTTCCAGTGTTCATCAGAATCCCATTTTGAACGGCAGAGAAGAACGAAGGGCAGAGTTCAACCCGAAAACCACACAACTTAACTTAGACCTAGATGTTTCAGAATCTTTTAAATGTGCCTCAAGTACTCAATATTCATTCAATTTTGCTTTGGTTTGTTCCTGAGGCTGAGGAGACATCAACTTTAAGCGGTGAGGACATATTATTGTTTGCTTTGCTCAATGAAGTCATTCAGTCAGTGAGGGTCCAGAGCAGCACTTTGTACTGTGCCTTCGTTTGAGGACGGCTCTTTGCTTTTTCTCCGTTTTGGCCTGTGTGCAAGCCGGCGCCCAAATAGAATAAACTTGATGCGCGGTTCATTTCCCGTGATTCATGTTGCACATCCGCTGAGGCCGTGATGTGTATCCAAATGCCACTGGAGCCCTTCAGCAGCAGATGATGACAAAACGGAGCTGGACAAGAGGATGCGGACATATGCGGACGAGTTTTCTCTCAACAAGTTTAGCGACCTCAGGTGACACCACGTGGAATGCTAGTGACTCCTCGACTCAACGCTCCTGAGGAGAACCCGTGTTGTGTGCAACTTTGGTTTCTTTGTTGTGCCGTGGACTTCGCATACTTTCCTGTGCTGCATTGCTGCAAGCACCGACTCAGCTCTGAATAGTGATTTTGTGATCTCCCCAAATCATAATAATTAGCTATGTTTATATGAATTTCATTGCATGAGCCGTCAGCCACAGGCATCCTGGATTGTTCCTCACATTGTGTTTGTCTCCTCTGCGCTGGTTTATGCACGACTTCCTGGAACTGGCGCGCTTGATTCTGAGAGACCTATATAAGGACGAGATGAGTATTTTAGCAGAGTGCCATAAATGATGTTGCACTGATTGTCACACTTCACCAGGTGGTGTGCACGGATGCCGCTGCAAGAAGATGTTGGGGGATTTGTTGCGAAGCCCCGAGCAACAGTAAGATGTGTCGACGCTGACTTGCAGCTATGATGCCGTGTGTGCAATGATGTGCCAGCAAAGGTTCCCGTATGCACGTGCGAACGACTATGCCATGCCCAGAGGGCTGCCTTTTCACTGCAAAGAGCTGAGCTGTTTACGCCAAATTTGTTGCTGACTTTTACATGCACTGACATTGCGACTGTAGCCGTCAGCACGCACTTCACGTGGTTTGTATCAGAAGCAGGACTGCATGATTCATGTTTCTTTGATGTTGCAGCTTGACTTGAGTCTTGGAACAATTCAGAGTGGGGATAGCGGCTAGTGACAGAGAGAGAGAGGGGGAGAGGGCGAGAGAATTGCAACTCAGAAAGTTATTTGCATGGCATGGGCTGCTTCAGAACCAGTGTCTTGTCCCACGACCCTTGCTTATGCCAATGATATGGTGGCCGGTACAACAGTATGACAGATGCCTTTTCAACAGCTTGGCTGGTGGAGGGTGCTGACGTGGAGCGAGAGTTAGATGACATCGGCATTTTGGCTAGATTTAGGGTGACATAGGCATCAAACTCCAAGTCCCTACTCAGCCATAAGATGATGTTCTAGTCAGAATGCCTCGAAAGGAACTCGGACTAACAGCCATCATACACATCAGCTTCAGGCAATATTTGGATCCGCGGCAGAGTGTCGAAAACTGATGGAAGGCAGCTGTGCAGCAATGTGATAGAACACCCTCGCGTGGGCCAGAGTCAGGAGCATGAGACGTGATGTTGCATTGCCAGGTTGGCCGATCTGGAGTATTTTGATGGATCAACTGAGATAGATGTGCCCGCATCAGATCTCCGGCCACTGCTTCCAGTCTTCGTTCCCCCACCACGACGTCCAGCAGAGGTCACTGTTCTTAACAGAGCTTCAGCGGCTTAAGTGGAATGGACAAACTTCCGGAAAAATAATGAAATTGTACTATACTATGCTCTCTCTATATTCTATATATATGTAATGTTATGGTACTCTATCTCATGTGCAACGATGGCTGCAAGTTATTTAGACATGTTGGTTGGGTTGGTTGGGCAGGGCTCTGCACACACGTCACCCACTTCTCCTACTTCACCTGCTACCAGTCCACCAAAGGAAGCTGCTCGCCTAGATTAGTTTCACTCAATGCGAGTGGAAGCCGTCGATTCATTCACGTGTGCTACAGGCACGGTACAAACCAAACGACCAGCCCGATCCACCTCAGCGAGAAAATGCATCCCTGCGACAGCGCATCGCAGACCTTCGAGCAGAAGCTGGATTGTTGGCTCCCAGATTGCAGATCATGGGATATTTTGGCGTAGCATTGTTTAAGTCCATGCTTTTCGACAGGATAGCCACAAGGCATGTGCCTGACTCAGGACCAGAGTGTGCAACATTTGCGAGTGCGTCAGGCCACCACACCATTAATAAATCATAGTTGCATTGTCACATTGTTGAAAGTTGTTTGGCAGGATCTGGGGCTTGCTGCACTGGAATCTGCGAATTCCAGTGTTGCTGAAGCTCGGTCTGGGCTGAATCAGAGAATGAGTTGTGCCAATGAATGTAACTCGGCTTCCCCATACTGGTAGCAGGATCGTGTAGGATCAGCGGCCTTGACACTTGATGTGATGTTTCTTCGAGACCTGACCGATGATTGTGAAAGGTCTTTCAGAAATAATGGAATTGGTGAACGAGATCAAGGTCACCTTGGGTGATGCTGCTTGCAGTGCTGGGTTTCGAGATCTTGCTGTCCTAAACCCACATGGAGAAGGTGCAAAGATCGGAAAGATCAAAGCTGAGAACCATGAGGTCATTGAGGCCTGGGTGCCCGTGGGAGCTTGCGATGCACCCGGGACAACTGGCGCAGCTCATACAGCTCGATGTGCTATTTCATCAACCTTGCGCCTTAGTGGCTATCCATGGCCTAGTGTTTTGGAGACAACAGTGACCTGGGTTCGGCACCATACCGCAATTGGCTTTGCTCCAATCATTCTGTTCTTGGATGAGCCTGATTTAAGCAAAGAAGAGGCATTGATGAGCTTGATCAACACATTGGAGGCTGACATGGGTCACGGCATGGGGGAATTAGTTCGCTTCGTTGGTTGCTCACAAATGCAAGCCGCCTGGCGTGAGCATGGACCTTTGTGGGAGGAATTCGGTAGCCAAAGTGGCTCCGAATTATCAGCGAATCTAGGCTGGCAGGCTGCATGTTTCCCACACACGGTGTTCCATGGTCCCAATTTTTAATGCATCGCTTCCCCCGTTGTGGAGGTCAAAGCATTGAGGTTGGTCAGAGGCAGTATACTGTAGTAAGTCAAGTCCGAAACTGACACTTGCAAGGCAAGGGAATTGTTTTTACTTTACCACGATTTGACTCGAGGAAGCAGATCTTGAACTGTGCCACGGCTACTGAATATTGCCGAGCCAGTGGCTGTGCGGAGTGGCTCCTCTGCAACTTGGATCTTGATGAAGCCGTTTGCTTCAGCTCCCCAGGCGGCTCCTCAGGTGTGGCGGAACACTTCAGTGCTGTTGGGGACATCTCCCAGATTGTGTACATAAATCACGAGGCCATTGTTGCAGAGGCCGACAAAAGTGGTGGAGCAACTTGGTTCGAGCACATCCAGCACTTCAAAATCTCTCCTGTCCTTAAGCTGCCATTCATGTGCCGAAGGTTTCCCAACCATGATGAGGAGCCACAGGTTCTCGACCATCCCGAAGGGACTGGCGAAAAGACACTGCTATTCTGGCAGAGGCACAACGCACGCTTGTCTGAGCAATACAATTTCAAGAAAAGAAGTGGTGGTAGCACTTGCTCCTACTTTGATGGATATATGCGAGGCAAAGTTGCTGTTCGTGTGAATGCCCTCAACGATGCTGTACCCAGAGTTCACCGCTGGCATGGACTAGGACTGCAGACTGTGGTGTGTCACCCAGGTGCAGCCTCTATATTGCATTACATCAATTGTGGTGGTTTGGATTGGTTCGAAGCAAAATACAAGGTTCGTGGCTCGGAAGAAGCCAACCGGCTATGGTTTCACGTCCTTGCGCAAGAACGTGCCAAGATTGGCAAAGATGCCCTGAAAGAACTCTATGATGATGTGCTGGCGATTCCTGCTTCAGACTTGGAGTCACAAATGGCCGAGGGTTTCGTTGTTCCACTCAACTTGGCTTCGGAATTGAAGACGTTTGACAGTTTTTGGGGGTGGGCAGTCGTTGGACTAGGTGACGAACTTTGTGTTCACATGCCTCTCCAAGTGCCTCCAGCTCCAGGTGCAGGTATTGACATGTCACTAGGGCAGCCATTATTTCATGATCTTTGTCCCGGTGAGTACATTGAGCTGGACTTGCATACAGAGAGTGCCGAAGTACCAGTGCTCTTCCTTCAAGTACCTCCCAACCAGCGTGGTTTCCTGGTGCTGGACATTGCAACCACAGACATTCTGAATGATGCTGGCATTTTCTTGTGTATTTCATGCGACGACAACAATCGACCAGAGTTCGTGGCCGTGTCCACCGCAAGTGAACAATTCAGTGGATGGCGCTGCCGTGTCCAAGCCCACAGATGGCCAAGTTCAACGGTTGCCGTTTGGGTGGGCTGCACAGTCCTCGCAGTTGGTGGCCTTCCACTTCGTGAACATCCTTTTGTATCGTTTGAAGTTTTGTCGGAGTCGTATGAATCATCCACACCTAAATGCAGAGCTCATCTCCGTTTTGAAGATGAGCTGACTTTGCTGCCTTTGGAGCTTCATGGAGTCTACGACATTTTTCATGCTGCATACAAAGATGTTGATGGACAAGCCCTTGCTGATGAGGCTGGGCAGGTCAGTTCCTTGGAGCTCACATACGCGGAGGTGGAGTTTGCGCCTTTCTTCAACCTTTTGCAGATGGTGGCGCAGCCTCAGCCAGGCGTATCACAGACAGCGTTTGTGCTAGAGTGTGAGGGAGCTATTCCTGGACATGCTTTATTGCACCTGCATATCCCCCCTTATTGTCTTCTCTTTTTTCAGGAGAGTCGTTCTTGGACCTTGGCAGTGGCACTGGCCGCGCGCTGCTGGTTGCGGCCCTGTCATTCCCGTTTTTAAGCTGTTGCAGAGGCGCTCGGACTCTGAATGCAACTTATTTTAAGCGTTTTAGGCTGTGCCATTGTTCAACTACAAACACCTCAAAAATCTTCAAAACCTTCATCAGGCTATGAATTATTGGAGCCGTTGCATGAAACCGCTGGAAGTGCAACAGCGACTTGCGTCCAACAATGCCACAGCAGTGAGACGCTTGCTTGAATCTGAATATCATTGAAGCACATTATGTGATGATGGCTCCAGCTCAACCTATCTCAAACATCAAAACATCTCATTCTTGTGCTAACTGCGCAGGCGGTACCCAGCTGTACCATAGATGTTTCTGAAGTTGGGCAGGTTACAAGACATTACAAGCCAGTCTCATTGCTTCACTACTAGCATATAGCTACTAGTAACAAGGGCATTACTACTACTAGCCAGAAGCTACTAGGTTGGAGGCCATCGCTACTGGTGGCTAGAAGCTATTATATAGTAACAAGGGCATCGCTCTTTGTGCGAGGCTCGCCATCGCTCCCGTGGACCTGCAACTACAGAGTTTCCTGGCAGAGCCATGGGAGCAGCATGCCTGGGACATTGTGTGGGTAGCTTCTTTATGCCTGAGGCCCGTTGGGAACGGTGCGGGATGGGTTATGAATTACCAACGAAATAGATAGATTTCAGATGATTTTAGACAGAGTTGCCATGACAGTCCCTGTTTGTGTCACTTAGTTGTTTTTTGCTTTTCTGTTCTTCGGTTGCTGCTTTAGCACAACCAACATATCAGTTTGAGGCCAGAAACTCTTGCTGATATCACGCAGCGTGTGCTCAGTCTCCCACCCGGAGCGCGGATCCTGACCTGGCCTTATTATGCCCTTACTTGCCTCATTGACTCGTCAAGAGAACCAGAGCCAAGAGCCGTTGGCACAGTTCAAAGTCATAAGGACCATGGATCCATTTTTTTGGAGAAGGAGTTCCGGGTCTTCAGCCTATTTTTATCAATGGCAGGGATCTGAGATTTTGCCTAGGTTTGTTAGGCTTTGGATGTCCCTTTGAACTTTGAGTCTTTGTGGGCCGTTTTAGCCTCCGCAAGGAGTTGCAAAAATCACAGTTGAGATGAGCTTCGGCCCTGCCAGTGTGTATGCAGTTCGTCGTGTGTGAAAAAGCGTGCAATGTGCCTGTCAGCGCACCTTGAAGGGCATAGAACAGCGCTTTGCTAGTCACTAGTGACAATGTGACTTTGCACGAAGGCCTTGCGAGCCTCCTTCCAAGCTGACACCTGAGCCACCTCCGACAGCCCGAACTCGAAGGTGTGCATGATGCTCAGACCTGTGTCACGCACCGCATCGAAGTGGGAAGCAGTTGAAAACTTTGCCGCACCAGAGCCATGTCCTTGAGGTTGCTCCTATTCCGGAGATGGGCGCGGAGAAAGGAAGGCAGCTTGCCAGGAGGAGTTAGAAGAACGGAACTTTGGGGGGCATATGATATGCCAAGTGCTATACTACAAAGCTATGAGGCTATGAGGGTCATAAACCCTGATAAATTCTAGTTCAAGGGTTTCTTGACACAAAGAAGCTGAAGGGCAAAAGCCAAAAGAAGGCTGAAGGCTGGCGGCTGGAATGAGAAGAAAGAAGAAGAGAAAAACAGCAGAAGAGAAGGTTGTTGCAAGATATGGGGTTCATACGAGGTCTTGCATGCCAGAAGTTTGTAGTTCTTTGATTGTCTTTGCGAAGGCATGATGCACAACATGATGGGTCCAAAAGTATGGAACTTTATGTTTATCGAGTTGCTTGTAAGAAGCAAGAGGAGGTGAAAGAATAGATAATACGCAAGAACAATGATCTTGGGGGAGAAGCTTTCGATAATATGCGACAATTATGGATAATTATTGACCTCCCCGAACAACTGGCTGCATGGGTATAAAGGACGCTTTATGATTCATGTCCATTGTGGGGTATCGATCAAACAGACGAGCTATATAAAAATTCAAGCACTACGACTGTTTGACAAACGCCACCTGTAGCATCAGAGTGCCCCTGTGGACTTCATGAAACAGATGGTCTCTAGGGAGGAGGGAGTGAGGCAATCACCTAAAGGCCATTTTATTGCATCCCTTGTGATTAGGGCAACTTCTATTGACCGCAGTCAAGGTGGACCTCTAGGGTTGAGACGCACAGCCGCCTTTGCTTGGACAAACGGTGCTGGCATTTGGACTTGTCAGGGCAGGATGCTTTGCAAGTTGCACACAAAGTCGCCCAGATGAGAAACAGTTGCTCGAATTCAATGGTGACAGTGCATAAGAACAGTTGAAAAGAGATTCCATCTTGAGATGCGAATTGGGACAAGGGGCGAATGCAACTAATCACGCCTTTCTTCATAGAGAAAGATCGGGCTGCTGAGAGATGCGGAGAAGAGCCTGCAATGCATAAGAAAAGAGAAGAGATGACACGAGAGGAAGGAGAACGGGAGACAAGGATGAGCCTGGGCAGCCTGTTGTACTTGCAATGTTGATCTCTTCTATTCCTGAAGTTTATTGTGTTTCATACTTTTGTTGCTGCTGGAGCTTTTCATTTGATGATCGGCAGTTGGTAGCATCTACAGGTTTTTGTGCAACAACTGACCGGCAGGCCTTTAGTCAGAAGCTCATCGGATTCAACTTTGCCGTGCAGTCCTTGACGTCGTTTCTTCCCGGCATTTGTGCACAAGAGTCATGTCATGATGAGTGATGGTTGGAGGTGCTCAAGTTGAGAGGTCAGACCTCCCAGTACAAGATGCGTAGCATCCACCAACATGCTGACCCTTCAAGCCTGCCTAACACAGGTAGGCTTGTTGGGATAGCTCGCCCACTAGAAATGTGATGTGGCTTCGCAAGCCACTAGTGCAACCATTTCATGAAGGATGTCAAAAGAACACCGTGGTTGAATCTGCTTCTAGTGCGGCGAAATTGTCAATATGCACTAGGGCCCTAGGGAAAAGGAAAGGCCTTACTTCCCATAGTTGCTAGCACCGTACAAGCCAGTGCTGGCTTGGTTTCCTGGGTTCATGGGCAGTTTGGACAGGAAACGATCGCAGAAAGTGCAGAAATGTCGGCACTGACGGACGTGCTGCCTCGAGAATGCAAACAGGCCACGTCAAGTGTGTCGGATGTTCGCCAGTTTGGCCTTGTCCATCCAGAGGCAATTGTCTCCTGTGCTTTCCGCACCCGTTCCTAAATAGAGATGGCTTGCAAAGTTTGCAAATAAAATGTTCAGACAGGTCCAGAGATAGAGATACTGCCAGTTGTTGAAGTCGAGACGTGTTTTTTTTTCAAATAGCAGATAGAAGGTGATGAGCAAACCAGGAAGTCGATACACTATAGCGTTTCCTTGCAGGATAGAGTGTGTTGGAAGATGTTTTCTAAATGCATGGTTTTTTTTCAATGGGCTTGTTTTACTCAGCGTTCACAGTGTTTTGATTGCACAAGACCTACCGCAAGGAAGTTGGCAGGCAACCCATAGGTTGTTTCTAGAGGTTTCTATAGGCAGCCCATAGGTTCCCCTTCATCTTGGGATTGTGGGTCTCATATGTCCAACCCTCCAAGGGCTTATAGGGCCAACCCTCGGAAGCAGGGTCCTCATGGAAACCTGGCTTCCGCTGTGAAGCGGGCACACTATTGAGTGGCATGAACTTGTGCCAGATGAGGCGTGCCCTTGGGGGAAAGCTTGATTTGGCTACCTTCGCTGGTGCTGCCGCTCTGCTGCTGGTTTTCTGCTGCTGCTGCCTTGCTGCTGCTGGTTGGCTACTGCTGCTGCTGGCGGTTGGCTGCTGTCGGCTTGCTGTCGGCTTGCTGCTGGTTGGCTGCTGCTGCTGCTGGCTGATTGCTGCCGGTGCTGCTACTTGCTGCTTGGTTGCTGCCGGTGCTGCTGCTTGCTGCTGCTTGTCGCTGCCGCTGCTGCGGCCTGGGCTACAAGGCCTACTCATTTGCTGCCTGTCATTGTCTTGCACGCCCTATGATTATAGCAGGCTGCTTCCATTGCAGACTGGGCATTGGAAACGTGACATCAAGCTTGGTGGCAGGCCTGTTTGGCGAAACGCGGTGCTCCAGTGACTTAGTCGTGGCGTGGTGTCCCAGTTTTTGATTGGTTGCCACAGCTGCATTGCAAGGACTTTGTGTTTGGGCGTTAGTGGGCATGGGTCTTCTGGGCAAACTTGTTCATCTCGCCCAATACCTCGCCCTCTATCTCGCCCAACCCACCAGGCACCAGGACCTCCAGAGGTGTGCGATGGGGATTGGCATTGTCACAACACATATGTGTATATAAGCAAAGGCCTCTTCAATTTACATGGCCCCCCCAGGCAAGGAGCGATTTGCAGGGTTCATGTTTTGAAGCGTTCATGTTCACATTTTTCGCAGGTGTGCCACGCGGAAGTGTGTCCTGCACAGTCGTTGAAAGACAGGAATGCGCACACACAAACACCAAAGAAGGCAAAACGCAAGCTAACCATGGTTTTTTCGCGGTCTTAGCATACTTCTGGCAGAGATCGGAAGCCGATGTGCCATGGGGACAATGTGGGATTTGCTCCTGTGATGTGGGATTGGTGAAAACGGTGTGCCATGGGATGATGTGGTTTCTAGCCTCTGCTGGTTGGGTGCTGCTGCTGCTGCTGCGCTGCGCTGTTTTGCTGCTGGTGGTTTGCTGGCGCTGGTTGGCTACTATACTGCTGGTTAGCTGCTGCTGGCTTGGTGCTGCCTGCTGTTTGGCTGCTGCTGGTTTGCTGCTGCCGGCTTGCTGCTGATGTTTGGCCGCTGCTGGTTACCTTCTGCTGCTGTTGGGTTGTTGGTGTTGTTTTGCTGCTGGTTGGCTGCTGCTTGCTGCTGCCGCTGCCTGCGCTACAAAGCCTACTCATTTGCTGCTGGCTGTTGTTGCGCAAACCCTATCATTGTGGCAGTGTCCGGTTGTAAACTGGGCTTGGAAAGCATGGTTTTGGCTTAGATGGCCTGTTTGGTGAAGCGCGGTGTCCCACGCGAAAACTAAGTGACTCCGCCG